ATATATATATATATATATATATATATATATATATAGAGAGAGAGAGAGAGAGAGAGAGAGAGAGAGAGAGAGAGAGAGAAAGTATCACCGATACCGACATACCGCTGTGTTTAGACAATATTCCTTAAATAAAAGGTAAAAATAAAACTTTAAAAACATAAGTACAAACTAAAAAGTGTCTTCCATCAGATAGTATAAGCAGTTTTTATAATACTGTTTGCAATTTTGTAATAATTAATTTTTTCATAAGGTAAACAAAAATGAGCGTTTGACAAAGTAGGTTCCAAAACTGACACAGTAGGTAGTAATGCTACATATTCCTATTCTTTTTCTTTTATGAGAATTATCTGTATAAAGTATCTACTAGTGAATGTACTTATATAAGATATTCCAGAATCTTTTCACTTTTCGTTATAAAACATTTTTATTTTGAATTATATGCATATTTTGAATTATATGCATATTTACTTTATGCTGTTCTGCAAGATGCAAATATGTAACGCGATAGCTTTTTTAAGAGTTTTTCCACATTTGCATGATTGTCTTCAGCTCCAATAGAGCTATTTGACACTATAAAGCAACATTACAAAGATTAAGTTAGCTCATGATCTGTTTTTACAGACAGGTGTGACAGTTTACGCTGCATCCCAATTTTTAATTTAAAATCCATTATTTAAATTCCATTATTATGGAAAACTAAGAGGAAAAATTATCAATAATATAGTCACTGTTATTTAACCTACGCAATTTGCAAAAGAAAATCATAAGAATTTTATTTTCGCATTCGGAGAATTCGTTTTTAGCTGATTTGGTATAGAAACAAGCCACAAATACGAATTATGAGTTTGTACTTCTTTAATTAGCTAAACAGATCAGGATTTTATTAGTATAATATTAATAAAGTGCAATAATATTTTTTTTTAACCGACAAAGGAACACAACCAAGTAAATCTCTCCGATTTAAATGAGCTTTTAGTATATTGTTCTAAGGAAAAAAATAGAAGACATGCATTTTTTTTATACGTGCTGAGTCGCACGTTAAGAGAGGGTGAAATCTTCCCTTGAAAAAAATCGGTTTTTTTCTTTCAGATTGAATATCGTCGAAACTGTAAGAGATAAAAAAATTTGCAGAATAAAAATTGAATGGCATTAAGAGTACTTTAGAATTATGATAAAAAAATTTTTTTCCCTTGTGAGAAATAAGGAGATCGACCTATGTCAATATTGGCGACTTTCTTCTTTATATGTCTCAGCAAACCATAAATATAATTGCTACATAACATTTCAGATAGCAAAGCGTGTCTCTCAGCAAAATCGCACAAATTTATGATTATTTATGATGCTGGCATCTGACAACTTGCTGTATATTTGTCTTCAACAATTCGGAATATACAATTGTAGCAACAATTAAATATTGCTAGCAGTTTAACGGCAAGATAGCTACATCAATGGCTGCGTTTAGCAGAAAAAGCAGCTTTGCAACTGTTGTAAAATTCTTGAATATGACTGGTTTATATATTTAGATCCTATAAGGAACTAAGGACAAGTCCAATCACATTAAAAAATTGTATACAATTGCAAAGCTGTTTTTTTCTGCTGAACGCAGCCAATGTTACCTCCCGTTGTCGGCTATATATAACTGCAGCATTATGTGCTGCATATATTACTGCATACATATAGTAACATATACATATTATTATATAGTAACACTACAATATATATATACATATTATTATATAGTAACAATACAAATTTTGATGATGATGATTTAAAAATTGTCGGCAAATGACGGACAAATTACTATCCAAAGTTGTTATATCGTGAAGATATCAAAGTCGCCGACATATACTTACTTAGGCCTAGTTTCACAATTCACGGTTAACTTTTAACCAAGGTTCAACTTATTTCTTATCTTTTTCCAATTTTAGAATTGGAAAGTGGAGTTGTGAAACTGGGCCTTGCATATTAATTATATTTAGCAAAGAACATGCCA